ATAATACTAAAAAAATATATATCGTATAAGTTTGTAGCACTAGATATATTCATTGCATTATTTATATAAAAATACTTACAATATGTTGTTAATATTCTTTTACTTTTATATAACCTCTTAACTTCTTATAATGTATAACACAACGACGTATGTATTGTCAGCAGCCATATTGGATTCTAATATTTCTGGTCATTTCTGATTGGTTATTATCTTGACGACTGCACATCCACGGGACTGGTACACCTTTAAATTTACATCAAGAGTGTAATAAGTAAACCGCAAATTGGAAACCCAATGGCTGCGTTCATTGGTACATGCTCTTGGATTTAATCAAAATTAAGAGCATACTCCAATCAGATTCACGAATTTTACAACAGTTGCAAAGCAGCTTTCTCTGCTGAACTCAGCCAATGGGTACGTTCAGCGGAAAAAGCGCTTAGTGAGTAATCAGCGATTATTGGTTTTTACTGTTAGATCCCTAAATCTAGACTAATTACATTGATGAATTGCACCCAATGGGTGCGTTCAGGAGACACAACGGTTACACAACGGTTGAGTAATTAATTAATGTAATTGGTCTAAAATAAGGGCCGTGGCACACAGAAAAACTTAAGCAGTAAGACGTAAGAAGTAAGCAAATTGACCAATCACAGTCGTTGATTTTTTAAACGTAAAAAGAATCAATGACTGTCATTGGTCAATTTGCTTACTGCTTACGTCTTACTGCTTAAGTTTTTCTATGTGCCACCAGCTTTAAGGGACGTCTACATTGGAAGTAAATAGCAAGAAGTAGGAAGTAAGAGTAAGAAATTGACCAATCACAGTCGAATGTGAGAAGAATAATTAACTATGATTGGTCAATTTCTTATTCTTACTTCCTACTTCTTACTGCTTACTTCCAATGTAGACGTCCCTTAAGCTTATTCTATAATTGCGTGAACGCGATTGTAAGTAGTTGTAAGTGATTACGACAACCAATCAGAGTAAAGCAATCAGTGAATAAAACATTCGGATTGGTTGATTCTTACGTTTACGACTACGCTTACGCAATTGTAGAATGGGCTTTACGTATACCGTAAAGAGACGTCTACGTTGGAAGTAAACAGTAAGAAGTAGGAAGTAAGAATAAGAAATTAACCAATTATAGTTGATTATTCTTCTCATATTCGACTGTGGTTGGTCAATTTCTTACTCTTACTTCCTACTTCTTGCTATTTACTTCCAATGTAGACGTCCCTTAAAGCTGGTGGCACATAGAAAAACTTAAGCAGTAAGACGTAAGCAGTAAGCAAATTGACCAATGACAGTCATTGATTCTTTTTACGTTTAAAAAATCAACGACTGTGATTGG